AAGTACAAGTTTTTGGTGTTTGTGAAGATGGGACTCCAAGACAAGTAATTTGTAATCTTAGGCATAATTTTTTTTTTAATTTTTTTGATTAATTTATTTTTATTAGGTAAATTATTTGATCCCGGAAGATGAAAATGTTGGAAAGGGTGCCGATACTACAATTTCATTAATCCACCATTATTTTGAAAAATATAGTCTGGGTGAAAAAAGAGTAATAATCTATGCAGATAATTGTACCAGACAAAACAAAAATAACGCTATGATCATGTACCTAGCGTGACGCATTGCTAACAAGTTACATGAAAAAATTACATATTCATTCATGGTAGCGGGACATACTAAATTTACACCTGATGGATTCTTTAGGTTATTTAATTAAAGTTGCGACATTCAGAAGTGGATGATATGTGGGATTTAGTCAATGTAGTTAAAGAATCAACCCCTGGTGGATATAATATAGCACAAACAGTCCTCAATAGTGATAGACAACGGGAAGTTTTTTTTTATAGTTGGACAGAATTCTTGATTAATTATTTTAATACCGTTCCACAAATTAAAAAACAACATCATTTTATTTTGAGTCGGGATAAAATAGGTTGTGTAAAAATTAAAACAGCAGTAAATGAAGGATCTCAATTAATAAATTTGATAAAGAAAGGACAAGGTATGTCTTTTTCATCATTTCCAAAAGAAATAACACCTAAAAAAATAACACCAGAATGGCAATGGTACCTTTATGAAGAGGTACAACAACATATTTAAGATCCATCTAAGCGGGATTTGTATTGTCCTTTGCCTTCCGTTGCAAAGCCAAAAATTCAACAAAAAAAGAAAAATGTATAATAAATTATTAAATACTAATTAAATATTAATAAAAAATGTAATAAAAAAATAAAAAACTGAATGATATTAATAAGTTTCTTAAAAAAGAAAAGATCGTGAATTATTACGTTTTTAATAAGAGGGGCAAACAACCAGTGTGTAAAATTCACGTGCACAATGTGCACATGAGCACATCGAAAATTTTTTGTGCACAAATGACATCACGAAAATGTGCACATTTTGCACATAAAAAATTTTTATTTTGCACATTTTGTGCACATTAATAACGCGTCATATATCGAGCATATATTGCGCACATATTGTGTAATAAAAGCCATTTCGTTATTCTTTTTTGTAAGCTAGACTTTTTTATAATGCAAAACTTCTCTTTTATAGTTTTGAAGTTTGGACAACTGGATTAATCGACTTAAGTATGTAGAAAAGAGTTAGTATCAATTTCGTTAAAGGAAACATAATAATATTTTTCTTTTTTTCTTTAGGATGCCAGAAAACTTCTTTTGTAGAAACACTGAACTAAGATGAACTGAACAAGTAAATGAGTGAATGGGGGGTGTGTGAATAGGAGTGTGTGAATAGAGATGGTTGTTAATAAGAAATGTTTCTAACATTCTTTCTTTTTGTAGAATGCTGGACTTCTTGAACAAATAAACTTCACAGTAAATATAATTGAGTTGGTTGGTATGGTAGGTGTGATAATGGCATTGTAAAATAACTCTAATACTATTTATTTTTATTTAGTTTCTCGAATAGAATGATTAGATATCCATAAAAATAATATATAAGCAAGGGTTATAATAGTAATTTAATAAATCAATGATCCGGTTATGTCAATTCAGATTCAGAACAGTTGCCGAATTTTTTGGAACACTTTTTTTTCTCGCATTTTTTTCCACACATTTTTTTTTACATATCGCTTACTTTAATTTTAATAAATAATTTTTTTTTAGTAATTTTAATAAGTTTTTGATTAAAAATGTCACATCTGTTGACTTAACCGATACTACTCCTCCATCTACACCACAACCCAATTCATCACATACTCCTTCTAAACATAGTCCTCGCAATCATGGTAATAATAAAAAAAATTACAATATACCAAAACAAAAAAGAAAAAATCAAAATCCTGATCGTTTAAAAAAAAAAATTTAACTTTTAAATCATCTTGGCAAATAGGACGACCTTGGTTAGAACATCAAATTATTGACAATAAAAATTTTATGTTTTGTACTATTTGCCAAAAAGCAAAAGGTAATAGTTTATGGGCAACATCAGGATGTGATACTATGAAATTAGAATTTGTTAAAAGATACGAAAATTCAGTTGAATACAAAAATTCTTTGCAAATTCTTAATCCAAGCCAAACTGGTATTAAAGAGGATGTAAATCAAATGTTAAGAATGAGCATGGATAGTGTAGTTACTCAAATGCGCAATATTTATTTTTTTACTTCACAAAATATTGTTATTAATATTTATCCTGATTTAGCTAATTTAGTTAATTATCAAAAAGAACATCCTACTTCTATGGTTAGTGATATTTCTTTATAAGTACTTCGACCACCAACTTTACCACAGTTTAAACAACAAAAAACATCTAGATCTAATTATGCAACATATACAAATAAAGTTAATGGACATGAATTATTAGTATTTTTAACCCGCCCAATTGAAGAAGCAGTAATTAATGAAATAAAATCATTATCATGTTGGAGTTTATTAGTAGATGAAAGTAATACAGTATTAAAAGGCGAAAACATTAGCTCTAGTTTCAAAACATATGGTTAATAATATTCCAACCTTACACTATTTAGGAATTACTGCAGTATCTGATACTTCTACAGAATCATTACTTGAAGTAATTGATTCATTTATTTTACAAAAAGGATTACCTGCAAATAAATTATATCATTTAGGAAGTGATGGGGTGTCAAATATGACAGGTTTGTATTTAATTAATAATTTATTAATTAATAATTTTATAATATATTAATTAGTAATTAATT